GATGAGCAGCAGACCTCCTCCAACACGTTCATCAGAACTCTGACGACCTGCATCTGCCAGTCAACAATCATCTGTAAGTCAAGTTCTTCACWTTCCYTATGAGAGAATATTGATAACAGACTAAATGTGATGAGGTGATGGTCCTGACAGTGTTTAATGAAGCTTTCCTTACTTTTACCTCAGCTGGTGAAAACTGCTACATTGTGGACCACGATCTGATCAGACAGCGAGCCGCACTGCTGCAGAAATACCTGCAGGATGAGAAGAAGCAGCTGCAGGCTCTCTCTGCCCTGCAGGTCCTGATGGTGCAGATGGATCACCCTAGCCGTGAGTCTCATTACTCATATTTATACTTCACTKTCAGACGCCCTGAATCTGTTTCCGTGCAAAATGTCTGTGATTTAGTTTACTACAGAAATTACACTAACACAGTTCAGATGTCTCTTCTCRTTCAGCTTTGAAATGATTCTAATTGTTTGACATATCTTGTCTCCCTCCCTCCATCAGAGCTGCTGCGGATGTTCTTTGACTGTCTTTATGACTTCGACGTGATCACGATCAGGACGTACTACAAGTGGGAGTTAAACAAGGACCCCACCAAGCCGCAGGGCAAAGACGTGGCCCTCCAGTCTGTTACTGGCTTCTTCGCATGGCTCCATGAGGTGAACTAAGGCTGCCAACCATCGAAACTGACATCAAATTCACCTTTCCATCTGTTCTCTTTTTTCCTGTGAACTGTCAGCTGTGGGTTCACTATCACTGATAAACTGGGTACAGTTGTATGATTTGTTTTCATGATGATTGGGATATGAGAACAAAAGATGATGAACACATGCAGCAGGGCCTGAGTTAGTGTTTGCCTCTGATCCAGTTTCCTTTATCAGTCTGAAAAGCTGAAACACAATGTTTGCATTTTGCTTTAGTTAAAATAAATATTGGCTAAATTCACTCATGAAAGCAYGTGGCCTTTCAAATCCTTTCAATAATGGTGAAGCAATAGGAACTTTGCTTTATGAGAATAAAAGTGAAACTAAAACGACCACTTAAACATTTTGGGGTTTACGCTGAGTAAACTGTGTGTGATGCTGTTGTATCTGTTTAACAGCAAACACGCAGGGAATGATTCAGAACCTTCAAATCCCTCACGTCAGCTTTAAAGTCCGACCTTTGACCTTCCAGTGG